CCTGATCTATCAGAGATCAGCTATACAATCAACTCACTATCTTTAACCAAACCAGTTGAAGAAAATGAGTTGATTAATTTTTTTATTCAAGGCAATACTGTGTGTATTCAAATATTGTTACAGAACACAGCTATGCAAAAATGAAACCAGTACAAAAAAATCAGTTGACTGGAATTTCTGTTCAAGACAATATTGGTTTAAATATTGATACAGAAATATGTCTTGAAGAAGTAGAGGTAATTGAATAAACATTTGATTCAAATGATGAAAAAATATTTTTTTTGCAAAACATTAAAGGGATCCCCAAGCGTCAAGACAAGTTGTGTTCATATTAAAGATAAACATTAGAAAATAAGTTAAATGTTAACTAAACCTTCCAGGAGCTATTCTAGACCGTTTTCGACAGCGCCGACCGTATTTGGGCGCCGATTTGGGCGCCGCCCAAATTCAGGTAATTGAAGACCTTTTTTTTAAATTTATTTAACATATATGTAAATATTTATAAATATGATAGAGAAATATATATATATTTATTTGGCATTAATTTTGAATAGATCCGTTGTCTTGCAGCCGTTATATAAAAATAAATGAATATGAAAATAAGTTTCAATTTATGGTTTTTTATTTTAAAGAGACTTGGACAAAACTTTTTAATTTAGCGCGTATATTCACCGGACCACCAGTACCATTGTTTTTAAAGTTCGTACATTAGTAAACGCATTTAGGTTGATTAAAGTAGTAATGTTTTTTTATTTATCTTATATTTATTTGTTTTAATTTTTGGCAAAAATATGGCAATAATTATTTTAAAGATTTTTTTTTATAAACTACATCAACAGCAGTTTTATACAATAATTATTTTATACATGGAAGTTATACATATAAGTTATGGACTCAATGAGATTAGTAAGTTTGTTGATGTAAATATGTGGGTTTTTTTCCCCATAAACATTTGCAATCTAGTAAATTTAAGGTAATTTGGCTATTTGTTAATTTATTTTTATTTCAGTGAAATAAAATACCTAAAAATAAATATTGCACTTCTGTGCAATATTTATTTTTAGGTAGCAACTTCCTTATAAAATTTATGTAACAGATCATTTTAACAGGAATGAATTATAGTGAATTATTTCAAATACATTTAAACATAATAATAAAGCTAAAAACTAACTAAATTTTTGTTTATCTAAAAACAAAAATTTTGAAATTTTCTAAACGTGTTTTGGCCCCCCCCCCCCCCATTACTTAAATTTTAAGAGAAGGGGAGTGAGGCAGAGGGGTACCGCCGCCCAAATTATTTTCCTAGAATAGCCCCTGCCTTCCAAAACAAATTATTGAATAAGATATTAACAAAAAACTTTTAATTTTTAATGCCATTTTGTTTCTTGCGAAGGAAAGATCCAGCTCTTTGACTATTTGAATATTTTTTTAATCCGGTCTGATTAATGCGTTTTTATATTTATTATTTGACGTCAATAAAAAAAAGTTTCTTTTAAAAAATCGAGTTAAACATGTAGAGTATGTTTGGGGTTTCCCTTTTGCGAAACAAAAATATAAGATTCAATTTTTTAATATCAATATAATAAATATATATTAGATCATTTTAAAAACGGTATTTATAAGTATAAATTAATTATAGTATAAATTAATATAATAAAATATAAATTCAATCTCAAAAATACTATTTTATTCTTGTGATTTATTTTTGTAATAAAAAATACTATTTCATTTTTGTGATTATTTTTGTGATAAATAGTACTAATAAATTGCAGATTGTAAAAGAAAACATTTGCTGTATTTTTTAATAAAAGTAATAAGTTTGCTTCGATTAAATATTATTTTTATTACACTAGTTTATTCTAACTTAAACACTTCACAATACGTTGAACAAAAAACAAAAACATGCTACAGTGAACATTTTTTATAACCACCACAGACTATTTTTAAGGGAAAAACCCAATCTGATTATGCAAAACTGAACTGTTTAAAAAAATCTGCAGAGAGAGAAATAATCTATTATTGAAACAAGATGTTATTTTAATGGAAAAAACTTGCAGATTTGAGAACCTAAAATTAGGCTCTCAACTGGAATTATAATGCCCCCTGCAAGCAATCAGAGGGAGTTGGCTTCTTATCGTGACAAGAATAAATGGTAGTATCATCAACGAACAATGCCACCTTAGATGTGAGAATATCTGGAAGATCGTTAATGTAAATTAAAAAGAGTATAGGGCCAAGGATTGAACCTTGAGGAACCCCTGAGGTTACAGAATAAGAAGAAGAGTGCTGTCCATCAAGGACAACTTTTATACTACGATTGGAAAGGAAGGATTCAATAATCTTAAAAATGTTTCCAGATACACCGTAAGAAGAAAGCTTATGGAGAAGACCAGCATGCCAAACTTTATCAATGGCCTTAACCTCTCCACCATTATCTAATGCGCGATAAAACCTATCGGTTATTACTGATAGCAAATCAGCCGTAGAACGAGAAGATCGAAATCTATATTGATGATCAGAAAGTAGGTTATGAGATTCGAGATTCAAGATTAAGTGTTTGTTAATAAAAGATTCAAAAACCTTGCTTATGATAGGAAGAAGACTAATGGGACGGTAGTTAGACGAATCTGATCGCTCTCCAGAATTTTTGAAAATAGGGATAACAGATGTTGCTTTCCAGCAGCTTGAAAACAAGACTCTGATAAGCACTTGTTAAATAGTTTTGAAAGGATAGACGACAGCTCCGGAGAACACTTCTGCAAGACTATAACAGGTATGTTGTCTGGGCCGCAAGCTGTAGAAGAGTTTAAGCGGGAAATCACTTTAGATACAGAAGCTGGCGTGATACGAATGTCGAGCAATGTATCAACCTGTTTGACGGCTATATCAGGCAGAATGCAACTAGTGGTATCAAGAGATGATATTGATGAAAAGTTCTTGGCAAACAATTCAGCTTTGTCTTTAGGTGAGGTGACAAAGTCTGAACCATACAAAAGAGGTGGAATTACTGACTTGCCCTTATTATTGATACTATTAAAGATTCTCCAGAAGTCACGAGAGCCTAATTTTTGTGAAATACGAGATTTAATGATCTGAGAATAGCAGGCTTTGGCATTAGACAAAACCTTTTTACAATGGTTCCTAGCAGTAATAAACAGACGTCTGTTTTCTGGAGAATTGTTTTGCTGATAGATATGGAAATAATGATTTCGATTGGCAATTGCAGCAACACAATGTGAGGAAAACCATTGAAAAGAGTGAGGCTTGACCTGGAATTGTCGAGAGGGAATAAAGGATTCTATGCCAGCCTGAATCCACGAAGTTATGTAAGAACCACATTTGTCAACAGGGAGACGAAATGTTTCTACCCAGGGGCCATCACGAAGAAAATCACGGAAAGAGTCCCAGTCAGCATTAAGGTAGTTGTAAGATGTATGATGATAGGGGGATTCTGATGGTAAAGAAGCATGAGATAATATTTTTAGAGAGACCAAACCATGATCAGAAGCACCTAAGGGTGAGTGTGAAGAAACTGAGCACTGACTAGGATCAGAAACAAGACATAAGTCGAGTAGAGAAGATAGATGATTCGGGCTGTCTGGAAAGCGAGTTGGAAAGTTGACTATTTGAGTTAGGGATTGAGAAAGACAAAAGTTGTAAAAGTGTGACCAGTAATAGGCATAATTACCCTACAATACAAGGATATGACAATATGACACTTAAGGATCCCTTTAACAGATCTTTTATTTCCATTCACTAATTCAACAGATCTTTCATTTCCATTTACTAAGAGATTAATGGAAAAAAAGAAGATATTTTTAGCAATAGTTTTTTGATGAGGTTGTTAATTCACCATAATGATTAATCAATTTAATTGAACAAGTTATCTTGATTTTATGCTGAGCTTCTTTTTGGGGGTTTAATTTTTTTTTTTTTCATTTTATGATAAATCATTTTAAAGTGCTCTCATTCATTTGTTCAATGTGTTTCCTACTTTCTGGCCAACAGCCAATAAATGTTTAAGATGGCCAGTATTTGGTAAAATTGTTTACCTTTCTTACTCGCAATATATATTTTTGTGTTATTATTATCACAAAAATTTTTACTTTAAAATGACAGAGCTTTTATTTCTCTAAAAATTGATATATGAAATGTAACATATACTTGAATATTTTTCTGTGATGGGCGTTTCTTGTAAAAGTGTGACCAGTAATAGGCAAAATTACCCTACAATACAAAAATTAAAGTTTAACACATGGCTACATAAATAAAATACGTAATTTTTTTGAGATAATTTATTTTCTAAAAGACGCCAAAGCATTACATTTTTTTGTGTTATCATTTATATTCAAAATGTTGCAATTATTAATTAATTTAAATTTATAGTTTAGTATATATATATATTTTTTTGTCCGATGGCTTTTATAAATTTGAAACGAATACTTTAGATGTTTAAAATATTTAATTTTATTTGTTTTAATTCTTATAGAAACTAGTACTTTTTATTACACTAAATTTGAGTTGTTATGTAACATTTGATTTTGCGCAAAAAATTTTCGCAATTAAAAATGTTTATAAAGTTAATCCTTTGAAAGGGTTTTAAAAAAGTTATAAAAAAAACATATTTATATAAATGTAATTATGCATAATATTCTTTGATAATTTAAATAAAATTGGTTTATTGTTAATATTATAATTAATTTGTTACTTTATTTAATAAAGTCAGGGCCGTCAAGAGTTGCCACGCTGCCTGGGACAGCAACCATGATTGGCGCCCTTAATTATCAAAATCTCCCTATATTATAGATAAACTTTTTTTTTTTAGGTACCTTCTTTTTATTTGGTGCCCCTTCAATATTTGCTGCTAGGGAAAAACTGTTCCTTTTGCCCCCTCCCCCTCACTCTTAGCGGCACTGATCAAAGTAATAAGTTAACTTAATAATTTATTTATTTAATATATTTACATAGTATTTTATATATTTAACAATTTTGTATTTTTATTATATATTTAATTATGTATTTACTAATTTACAAAGCATTTCACATGGTATAGTAATTTTAAAAAAATGTAATATAAATATATTTTCTTTTTCAAGTTTTAGCTTTTTGGGCTTTGAGTTTTTGCTTTTCCTTCAAGATTTTCTTTTTGTTCGATAACTCATCATACAAATTTCTTTTTATTTTCAGCGCGTTCTAAAATGCCCACTTAGCCAACACTAAACATTCAGCGAACGTTGCGAACATTCAAGATTGTTCTATTAATGTTCATAGAACGTGCTTGGATGTTTGCAGCATTCGTAGAATCTATATTAATAGCTGGGTAGAGTTGTCAAAACAAAGTGCATGGTCATGTTGTGAAAACAAAGTATTTCATAACACGTGTTTATATGTTTTTTTTTTACATACATACATACACACAATATTTTTCATTACTTTTTCCCTCTATAATTTGTAATGCTCAGAATTAAAACTATAAGAAAAATATTTTATACTATTTAATGACTTAATGGTGATTATTTCCTGTATTTTTGAATATTTTTTTTCAGCCAAAGTTAGAAGAAGATCCTGGAGATTTTAGCAACTTTAAAATATCAAAGAAAACTGTTAAAAAGTTAATTGGTATATATTTTAAATGTACAGTTAGATGATTATGTAAAGTTTTAATTGAAGAAGCTTTTAAGAAACAGTTCTTCCTAATATTTTAATAGTTTTTCTTCAAGACACAACCTTCTAAAATATTAAATGCCTAAAAAATGACATCAAAAATTGCCTCACATGTTTAGTGGAAATAGTCAATTATAAATTTTTAAGATTTCAATTAAATATTTTTGCTATCAAGGTTTGCATATGAAGTTTATAATTTACTGAATGAAATAATAGAAATTTACTAGATTGAAACAATGCATGTGCATAATTTAAAATGACGCAAAAATTTTTGTTTTCATTTTAACTAATGAAAGTATGTTATTTATAAGGCACAAGGTATTTTTCTTTCATTTTTAAAAAGAAATTGATGTGTTGTAAATAAACTGAAAGCATTTACTAAAGAGCATGTGCTAAAACTGTTTTAGTATTTTTTGTTTTTATATTGTGTATTTGTAGGGTCATAATTGATAATGATCAAGTAATGACCGTAGTTCATGTCTTTAAGTATTTGTATTAAATTTTAGATAATGATTTATAATGATAATTCGTGAGAATTTATAAATAATTTTTTCATTCTTGCAGAATGACATTTAAGTTAAATAAATGGCTACCATTATGGTAGGGGGCAAATATTGCTTTTAAAGTTGGTGAAAGGATGCTTTTTTGTATTTAGTATATTTTTATTTTTTTTATATTACTGTATTTTTCCTAAAACCTAACAAATAGACAAATGGAACATAGTCAACATACTTTTTAAAATTATCTTTTTTCTTTAAAAGCATAATCTAAACAGAAAATATTAATGTAAGCAAAAACATACAAACATCAAAAAAATTGAAGTTGCATTAAAATATTTATACTAATTTAAATATAAATTTTTAACCCAAGTATAAATAACAAAATTTACCATATACAAAATGTGTGGAACATACATAAGCATGCTTTGTTTTTACAAGGTGGATAACCTCTACCTATAACATTAGGCCACCATCTTTTTTCATTTGAATCAGCAGGCAAAATAAAAAAAGTTTAAATTTTGAATATTTTAACATTTCATGAACAACCACAAAACAGCATACCTTCACCATTTTAAAATGAAGTATTTTCCCCCACACCAAAATGGTAGTTGTTTAATTAACTTAAATAATGTAATATTTTTCTGCAACGATAGCAATATCTATGCATCAATAAATTTAACAAATGGTATTACCAAAATATTTAGTAAAAACAAAAATAAATAGAGTTAATATCAAAATATTTAGAAAAACTTAAAAAATAATAACAGTCAAAATTTACATATTTCAATTTATTCTTCGTTTAAACACAAGTTAGTTCATGTATTATAAATACAAAGTTGTGAAATAATATAAATAATTGTTACCAAGCACCAAATAATTTGCGAAAAATTTTGTAGGGGGCAACTTTGAAGAATTATTTAAATGTTTTAAATTAGACAATGATTAATAATAAAGGTAATGTTAAAAAGGTTTATTTTATCAATAATCTTTTATATTTTTTCAATATTTTTTAAAAAACAAATATATAAAAGGCAGAGATTTCACATTATTATATTAAAAGGATGCATTTTTTAAATTAGAAGAACAAATTAAAAATATAGAATAATAAATAAAATAAAATATGAAATATAAAATATAGCAGAATTATTGATTATGGCCTAATTCCCACACTCACTACCAAATTTCAAAAACAATTTTGTAAATAGAAAAGAAGGCAAGCTAGACACAACTATGTATTTTACAATGTATCCATCAATTAGTATCTCACATAGAATATATGGATGATTAAAGAAAATGAACCCAAAAGTAATTAACCAATGCATTCTGTTGTATTTATTTTTGTTGTTTTTGTTGTTATTATTATTAATACTGTGCACTACATTGTTTTCTTATTAACTATTGTTATATTGTTTTATGTTGTTAACATAAGTTATGTTTTGTTTTTTAGCAAATGGTGTCAATAAACTATTTCCTGTTCAGTATACAACATATAATGCTATACTTGATGGTTCAGATGTGATTGTTCAAGCCAGTAAGTAGTATTTATAATTATGCGTAGAACAATAAAGTACCAAAATCATATAAAATATTTTGTCAACACATCTAAAAAATAAAGATAAAATCTCTTTTGTTTAAAAGATAGTAAATATAAAAAAAAATTTGTATTTCATTTTTCGAATAAACTCATCAAAGTAACTTAAAGTTGCATAAAAATAATCACTTTTTGTTTTGAAGTAAGAGGCTTAAGTTACATGAACCTCTTTAGATGTAACTAGTTGGTTACATCTGAAGAGGTTCATGTAATTTAAGTTGGTAGGGACAATTAATAGACTCGTTCTATCTTATAGTTTTTTCTAATAAAAAAAACATATAGATACAGGCCTTGTTATGAGAATTTATTGCATAACAAAAATGCCTAAATTTAATAAATGTAAATTTACCACAGCTTTGATATTTATATTGTTAAAAGTTAAATTGCGTCATTATATTTTAAAGCACTGCGTTGTAATTAAGATTAATTTTCAACCATGTTCAAAATCACTTAAACTAATATAACAAAAATTACTGATGAAATCTAAATTCTGTAATTAAAAAAGATTATATTCTCTTACAATTTATTCCTTTATAACTTTACATAATATTGAGTTAATAAGAAACAAAATATTTTTAAATACCTTTGTGAAAAGAATTTTTTTTTAACAAAAACACTTCTCCTTTTTTTTTTAAAAAAAAATGTATTTTATGATGAAGAGATGTTATCAGATAAATAAGAGAAAAATTTTTTAAATAAATATTGCAAAACTATTTTACATGCCTTCAAAACTAAATTAAAATTTTTAATTTTCAAAGTCATATTCAATTCAAAGTCTTTAATTAAAAAATATTTATACAAAATTATCAGTATCTTTAAAAAATAGTTTTGCTGTTAAGTTGCTGTTAAATGCTTTTTTTTTACAACTTAATATTTTCAGAATAAATGTCTCATAAATGATATTATAACATAGTTTAAATATTCTAAAATAAAAAAGTTTATGCTTAATGTAAAACAGCTGAACCGCTTATGCAACTTTTAATTTCACAATTAAAATTTGAGCTGCATAACACTTTTTAACAAGGTTTGTAAATAGCTGCATACCTTAACTTTAATGTTAATATGTTGATTGTTAGATGTGACAGGTTTGTACTTAATAATATAAGATATCAAAATAGTAGTTATATTTGTTTCTTTCTAATTGATAAAACCTGCCAATCTCAATTGCTAAATAATATAATTTTGTAACATTATAACAAACTACATATATCTTTGTAGTTGTTGTAATATTTTATCACATAGTTATCAGGGGCTATTCTAGGAAAAAAATCTGGGTGGCGGTAACCCCAGTCCCGCAGAAATTTACTAAAAATATTGCCAAATATAGTTGTTTTCTCAAAAAAATAATATTTGTCATTAAAAAAAATCTGTATTATCCTATTGTATTTATATCTTTGTATCATAGTTCAGTATATTTGTATTAAACAATGTTAGTATCACGTAGTTACATCACATAGTTACATCACATATTTACATCACATAGTTACATCACATAGTTACATATTGTACAATACACTCAGCAAAATTTCTATAGTTCCATGTACTTATTACAGATTTTATGTGGAACGCATTTATAAAATTAACCACAAAAATTTTCTTTATTAGACCTATTGCAAACAAATGCGTTTATGACAATTTTATGTGTTTCTAAAACAATTGAAACTAAATTTTCTAGAATGTTTTTAAAATTGGTATATGTACATGCGAAATTTCCATAGTTTCCATAGTAAACCATTAAATAAAAGTTAAAGTTAGAGTAAGATTTTTTAATTTGTTTGTTTTATATGTAAGTTTTGTGTATTTTTAATTAAGATTTGCTATTTAAATATTACAATGCCACACAGAAAGGTGTTAAATGAGGATGAAAAAACAAAAATTGTTGCTTACAAAAATATGGGTTTGTCCAATCGACAAATTGCAAAGAAAATCAAAAGGTCTCATGCAGTGAACAATTTCATAACCTTAGGTGAAAATTATAACAAAAATCACTTTAAGGGCGGAAAAAGCGGCATTTTGTTTCTATGGCAAAATTCCAATATGTTTTATTACAACAAAAATGAATGCTAGAAATTACTTAGATCTTTTAGATGTTTTAATATAGTTTAGTGAAGGCTTACCTACTGAGAACTGGATTTTCCAACAAGCTAATGCAGCGATTCACATGGCACAAAGTGTAAAAAAGTGGTTGTAGGAAAAAAATATAAATGTTTTGGAATGGCCATCATGTTCTCCTGACTTAAACCCTATTGAAAATTTATGGGGAATATTGTCGCGAACTATATGGAAATTCTTGACAGTATATTGCAATGCAAGAACTTAAAATATCTATCTAACAAGTATGGAATGGTATTTTAAAAGTTTGTTTGGAAAATCTTATAAAAAGTATGAAAAACCAATTCTTTGAATTAATTAGTGTAAAAGGTAGTAGCTCACATTATAAAAAACTAAACAGAGTCAAAAAAATTTTCTGTACCCTAAAAGTTATACTAACTATAAACTTAATTTAATAAATGTAAAATAAAATATTTTCATTTTAAAAATCAAATATTGATTTTAAAATAAAAATAATTATTATTATAGTTTATTTACATATATTTTACTTCATATATTTATATTTATACCTAATTTAAATGCAGCAATTAATAGTTAACTAAATATATAATTATGGTGGTTCATCACAAAAAAAAAAGTTAATAATTTTTTTTTTTTGAGAAAAAATAATATTATCTAATCTGATAGAAAATTTTAGTCACATTTAGTTTTTTGAAAAAGAATATACCTTTTGTTTTATATTTTTTGTGAAATTTAACCTTTTAGTAGGTGCATAAACAAATAAGTACTTAGCAATGCCTTAGTTACCGTTTTGGATCAACCCAAACCTATCTAGTTCATTGCTAAGATTATGTTATTATAGGTCTTTCAATTATATATTGTTTTCTGAATCTGTTATGTGAAATATAACTTATCTTAAACTGCATTATGGGATATTTTAAAATAAAAATGTTGTTTAACAGTGTGCTTGTTATAGTAAAGTTTAAATTTTAATCAAATAGTTCTCTGTGATTTTCATATTGTTTTACAGTTTATTTTTAAAGCTTTTAAATGGGTAATAGTAAAAATGTATCACGAGGAAAAAAACGTCGTAACATGTTTTATAGAAAGAAAGAAAACAACTCACTTTCTGAAAAGGATAAAACTTCTAAATTCAATAGCCTTAGATGAGCTAAAATTAAATCCAGACTGCACTCATGTTGTTATGATAATGAGAATTACAATATTATTATGAATCTTAAACTCTTAAAGACTCTTTTTTAAAGACTGTTTCTGTTGTCAAGAATGTTGCTCAAGTGATATTAGTTTGGTTGACAAGCTTTCATCTAGAATGGGATATGCGCATAAGTTAAGCATGACTTGTAATGCATGCAAATTTAATAAAGAAACTTATAAATCCACTGAATGTGTCAATACCAATAAAGTTCAAGGTCGAATAAAATTTGAAATAAATATTCGAGCTTTAGCTTCTTTTCAAGAAATCGGTAGGGGACACGAATCATTAGTCAATTTTTTATGATGTATGAATATGTTTTCAATTCAGCGCAAAACATATAATTCCATTTCAGAATCTTTACATGGAGCTTATGAAAATGCAGCAAAACAAAGTATGCAAAAACCTACTCATCAGATAAAAGAAAATTTGTTTGAGCTTACTAACCCATATCCATTATGTTGTGTATCAGTAGATGGTACATGGCAGAAACGTGAATTTAATTAGTTGAACGGAATTATCACAGCAATAAATGCAGGAAAATGTATCGACATACATGTCTTGTCAAAGCATTGCAAAAAATGTGCAAGTTATGATGCATTGAAAAAAATAATATTAGTTTTGACTATGATAAAAAAAAGCTGTGATCATTTATCAAGTGGAAAATGTTCCATAAATCATACAAAATCTTTTTGCTCAATGGAAGCAGTAGGTGCAATTAAAATGTTTGGACGTTCAATTGAAAAGCATGGTTTAATTTATAATCAATACCTTGGAGATGATGATACCTCATCATATAAAGAAGTAGTTAAAAGTAACCCATATGAGAAATATAGTATCATTCCAGAAAAGTAAGAGTGCGTAGGTCATGTCTAGAAGCGCCTTGGGACAAGACTATGAAATCTGGTCAAAGAATATAAAGGAACATTGACGCCCTTATCAGGGAAAGGAAAATTAGCCAAAAAAATATTAATTCAGTGCAGAATTACTATGGAATGGCCTTACGTAGCAATAAAAATGTAATCTACAGTATGAAGAAGTCGATTTTGGCAATATGGCATTGCACTGAGTTTGATGATGATAAATATCGCCACTAATTTTGCCCAACAGGTAGTGCGAGTTGGTACAAGTAGAAGAAACTGGAAACAAATGGGGCATATAGACCAAATATTAATTTTGCAATGTGGATCCACGTAATACTTCGCCCAGTTTTTTTAGAATTGTCTTCCGATGAGTTGTAAAAAAAGCGTTTGCACGGTCAAACTCAGAATTCAAATGAGGCACTGAACAATATAATTTGGAACAAATGTCCAAAAATATCTATGTTAGTAGAACCATATTAGAACTTGGTGTTTATTCAGCTATACTGGAGTTTAATGAAGGATCTTTTGGAGTAGACTTTAAACAATATGGAATTTTATGTAGTCAACCTTTTTTTAAACTTTCATATCGCAGAGATAGTTCAAGAGTTGAAACTTTAGACAAAAAATTGACTGATGGTGCAAAACAACGCAGAAAAACCATAAGAACTATAAAAAAAGGACTTATTGACATTGAAGATGAATCAGGTGTTACAAAAAGTTATTCTGCAGGAGCTTTTTAAGATGTTTAATTTTTTTAATGGTTTTTATGACACATCGAGTTTTTCTTCACTTCAAACATAACTTGGTCAAAA